ATTTCAAACGTGGGATGGTTGACCCACTTGGAGCAGGCCAGTTCAAGCCAGCAGAGGCAAAGGAAGGCCTGAGTCAGAAGTTTTCTGCACTTAACAGAACAATGACATCAAGGGAAGAAAAAAGAAAAAAAAACAAAAAACGAGTCAATGATTAAAATTCTCTCTGCCTTGAAAAGGCCCTAGCTTCCTGCTTTAATTTCCTTTGAATCATGTGGGATTTATTAATAACAAACCCCAAATTTGCAGCAACATGTTTTGAGCTCTGAAAGCAATTAATCCTTCCAATTTGTCTAACTCCAGAACTCCTGTGCACGGTGTGAGCAGAGATTTGTGGTTCTTTTGCTCCTTGCTGAGGGCTCCTTTGGTTATCTAAAGCCTCTTATTTTCACCCTGAATTGTGTAATCAGTTCTAATTCTGCCTCAAAGTGCCCGTGAACCATAAACAAGGTTCTAGGAGCCCAGGCCACATCCAGTATCCCATACTTTCCAACCAAAGGACTCCAGGGAAGTTCTAATTCCTCCCCCAACGCTGAATGCTCAAGCGATAAAGGGATGGCTGACTCTCTGTCCACACCCCCAGGCCATGACCGGCTGTGAACACCCCGCTCCCGCCCCACCGCCATTTGACTTGGAGAATACAGTTCCTCCTGGAACCTTCTCTTGAGTGTCTGCTTCCAAGGAGGATGCAAGTAGGCAGCAGTGGGAGGAAGAGTTTTTTGGTTTTGTTTTGTTTTTTTGCTCAGAAAGCAGAAGCTTCTCTAGAGGACTGGTGATAGCAGGAGCGTCACCAACCTGCTCCCCAGGCACCGCTGGCTCTAGCGCCCCCTGGCTAGAGGAGAAGGCAGGGCTGGCACAGCAGGAAACAGTCCTCTGGCTGAACCCACAGGCCACCGCAAGTGCCATCCCAATGTCAGCCTCTCTGCCCTGAGTCTCCTGGGATTCAGCTGAACCACTAACTAGAACCACTAACTAGCTACTCGCTGTTCCCTAACGAGTCGTTTGAGAGAGTTGCCCGTCCCCTCCGTCCCAAATCCAAGCCCACCAGTTCAGGCATTTCCCTCCACTCCCCTCCCCTGCTCCTCTCTCACCGTCCCTGTACCCTACTGAGCCTACTGATTTTAGGGGTGACATCCTTCAACAGCTCCCCACTGTCTTAAGGATAAAACTGAAATTCCTTAACATAATGCCTAAAGCACCTACCTGCTCTCTCTAGCTTTCTTCACCCAAATACCCCTACCCAGCCCTTCATAGCACCCTACACCCCAGCCCTCAGAACACCCTGCCGCTGAATTTACTGTTCCTTCAACAGGGGATGCCCTGTTCATCTGCACCCCTTCCCCCCCCAACACACACGCATATCCCTTACTAATTTCTACTCATCCTTCAAAACTCTGCTCCAAGTCACCTCCCCCGAGAAGCTTTTCCTGAGCACTGCCGCTCCCCAGCAAAATGGGGCCCTTCTCTGGGCTCATACAGGCAGGCAGCACATACCTGCCCCGCTGCTCTCGGGACCCTGTGACACATGTCCAGGTTTTCCACCTCCCAAAGACCGGGGGGGGGGGGGGGGGCAGCCACCTGAGATCAGCAGCAGTGTGGCCCTCCTCACAGCCCTTCTCACACAATTGCTGTCTCCTCCCTCTTCTAGCTCCCCTTGCCTCAGGAGATTTTGTTTTAGAACAGTTTAGATTTACGGAAAAATTGCCAAGATAGTAGAGTTCCCATAAACTCCATACCCAGTTTCCCCTATTATCACCATTTTACACTGGTATGGTCCATGTGTCACACTTAATGAGAATATTGATACATTGTTACCTAAAGTCCATCCTTTATTCAGATTTCCTCGGTTTTCCCCTAATGTCAATTTTTCTTCCAGGACATCACATTACATGTAGTCATCATGTCTCCTTAGGCCCCTCCCCACTAAACAGTCTCTCCCCAAGATTATGGGTAGAGATATTTATGCTGTCCATTAAATATTTGTATCTGTAGGTGGCTTCAGTCATGATACATGCCTTTTGTGGAAATGGGTGGTTAAAAAAAAAAAGCCTACTGAAACTCCTTTTTTACATCATCTGATCTTAACCAGAGAGTAAGGTACCAAAAGGTTTTGAAATACATGAGGACATGAAAGTCAATTGAACTTTCACGTGGCCATTTTCTCTTTCTTTTGGGGTCTATACACCTACCACTATATCTATTAGTATTTCCAGAAGGAGGAAAAAAATAAAAAAGGAATCAGAAGGACAGTTGTAACTGTCATGAAATGGGAGGGTTTTTTTGGTTTGGTTTGGTTTTTCCTTTCTGAACAAATACCTCGCCTATAAAATAAGACGTTTAGATTATATGGCTTCTGATGTTTCTTTTCTTGTGCTTTAAAAGAAAATGATAACTAACATGTGTTCAGGGCTTTCTAACCACCTGAGACTGTATCTTACACAGTCCTCAAGATACCTTATAAGGTACTATGATTATCCCCATTTTGCAGATGAAAGAACTAAGACACAGAGAGATCAAGTAACTTGCCCAGTGTCACACAGCAAATCAGTGGTAATGTTCAGATTTGAACCCAAGCAGGATGACCCCTGAAACCTGAAGTTAACAGTCAGTTTTTTATCAGGTAAAGTGATACCCACTTTTTGATTCCCAGAGCATTCTGACTCCCAGAACACACAAAAGGATGAGTGGCCCAAGACCTGAAAACAGTGTAGTGTTTGTGAGCACCTGGTACTGGAATCAATCCAAAATTAATGATTGAAAGAGTTACCTTCACCCCTAAATTGTCTCATTGTCTGACCCTGAGTTTGAATCACGGCTCTGGAGGCTGTTGCTCTGTGGTTGGTATTAAAGTTTAAAAGTCATTATGACAATATTGACAGCCAAATAACGGTTAGGGGGACAGTTTTTTAAACAAATATAAAGTTTGGAGTGAAGAAAAGATCTTGGTTACATTTCTAGACAGCAAACCCCAGTAAAACCCAGGGATTTAGGAATTCTAAGAGATTCCTACAAAGTCTGCTTTCGTTACAAGAATGAATTGGATAGCCCTGAAGAGCTGCCTCTGTTCTGTTTGGCCGAGCACTTGCTGCAAACTTCCCTGGACGGTTGGTTTATCCCATGGAGAAAAAATGATGGGCTCTGAGCTGCTTTTTTTTTTTCCGGTTAAAGGGTTAAAAAATAACCCCTCTCCCCATCCATTCTTAGAATTATACTCTCCAGAGAAGTCTGGTCCCCTTTCCTGGTAGACATAATCCTAATTAAAAATAAATTACATGCTGTATAGAACTTGAAATGGAAAAGATAATCCTATTACATATGAGAACGTCTCCTCATTTTCTTGCCCGCTAAACTGTGGGAGATATCAGATCGGGCTGAGCCCCCCATTGTCGCCGCTTTGAAAACTTTCCTGGAGCCCTAATCCGTCACGTGACGCCCTTGTCAATCTCGGGGGCTGCACGCGAGTTTCACAATGCGGGCATTAGGCTCGGTAACCGAGACCCAGCTTTGCGGGGCCCGCAGCATTTGCATTCCGAGAAAACGCCGGGCATTGTAGGGCTGTGTTTGTTCTCAGGATTTCGAGACAGTGGCCGGCGAAGTTGCGGACACCGAGAGAAAGGGCCTCCTTTGAGCCGGTGCAGGCCTTTGGTATGATAACAAGTCGATGTGAGCGGCTTTTGTGGGGCCGGATCGGCTCCGGGGGAGGGCGAGCTCCCCGCCCTGCCCCCTGCTCCTCCGGCCCCAGCTCCCCTGACGTTTTGCATTCCCGGGGGAGTTGCCGTAGGCGCCGATGCGCTATTTGCGGTCGCATTTCCATAATCTGGAGGCTGCAGGAGGCGGGGGCGCGCGCTCCCTCTGCTCGCGTGCCTTCACACCTCCACGGCCGGCGGGGACAGGCCTCGGCGCTCGCCGCTCTGCTCCCGGGGTCCCAGCCCCGGGCTCCGCGCGTCGCGCCGCCTGGCGCCGCCGCTGTCTTGGCCACGGCCGAGCGGCCGAGGCGCTGGCGGAGGGGGAAGCGCTGCGGATCTGCGGCGAGCTGCCCCGCGCCTCTCCCGCCTCCTGGCTCTCGCCTGCCCCTCCACCGTCTCCACCCCGCCCCAGCACGCCTGCGTTCAGTTCAGCCTTCAGAGAGAGCACGATGACGTGGACGCGCGCTGAGTCAAGCAGTAGGTAGCTCAGACTCTCCTGCCAAGGAGAATTCCAATCCTCCTCCATCCCCCAACTTTAAACAGCGCATGGCGGGGCTCCCGCGCGCGGTCCAGCTCAGAACTGAGAGTCGTCGGGGCGCAGGGGGCGCAGGTGCGGGGTCCGGCTCGCAGCCACGCGTGGCCGGGCCCTGGGCAAGTGTCTAGTCGCGGGAACAGCGACTCCATACCCACTGCCCTCTCCCATCTTGCCCTCCTCCCCGCGTTCTCCACTCAGCAGCGGCCGCGCTGCGCGGGCACGGCCTCGACCGGACACGCGAGCGCAACTGTCCGACGGCCGAGTTCTGAATCTGTTCGGGTCCGGGTCGACCCCGGAACGCAGGTGAGGCAGGCGGGCGGGATCCTGCAAGCGCCAAAGGTCACCAGCAAGCCCAAGGCCAGAGTGAGTAAGTTTCCGGGCTCAGAAAGAAAACAAAGTTCCTTCGGCTGAGCATAACCCTCCCAGAAATGTCTCTTGGGCGGGAGCAGAGACATTTAAACAGAAGTTAGGAAGGAAAAACAGTGAAATAGATGGCTGACCATTGGGCTCCTGTAGGGGGCGTCGCAGTTGCCTGGCCTCACTGCTTTTACCATTCCCAGGGCTGCAAAGTGGAGGAGATGGGAAAGAGAACCGAGGGACGCGACCGCTCAGAGGCAGCCCCCAATCATTCACCGCCCCCCCCAACACACACACACCCAGTCTCATAAGAGCTTTTATTTATTGATGGCTGAGGCTGCATTTTTTATTTATTTATTTTTTGCTTTCAGGCAACTCCAAGCACCTCTTTCATTCTCCCCCACCCCCATGGCCCACCCAGTTTCCTGCTTGGTCTCCCTACACTCAGGACTCCTGTATCTCTTCTGGAAAAAGCTCAGAACACATTCATTCCCTCGGATTTGAGGGGGGAAAAAACACAGATAAGATGCTGAGAGCAGGACTAAAATCAGAATTCAGAAGAACGTTTATTGAATGCAGTCTGCTTATCAAATCCATCGCCTTTTTAAAAATATTTCTTCCAGTGGATGACTTTGGTTACCTCTCCTCTCTCGTGTGCATTTGCATAGCCCGTTTAATAAAGCTCTTGAACAATAATAAGAATTCGTCTTGTACCTACTTGGAGTCCCATCTCCCTGATCTTTCGGGATGCTGGAGGAGGGATACCTGTGGGGGCAGCGCGAAGCCAGCCCAGCGCAGAGCTTGGCAGTGCCCAAGCTCCACACTTTCTTAGGCAGATGGTTAAGTTCCCCCAGGTTCGTGCCAGGTTTCAACATCATGCTGTGATTTTGTCCTTCTGGAACAGGATAAGTGTTGCTTCCCAGAGTGGCCTTATTCGAACAGAAAGAAAACCCTCTAAATAGGCGGAACAAGGCATCAGGAGAGAAAGTTCTCTAAATGCACTTTAATATGAGCCGGGTATTGTGTGGAATTCAGCGCCCATCACCGTTTAGCTGGAGAGTTATGGCAGTGATTGGGGATGAATAGAGGAACATAATGGATACATGTGGCGTTTGCTCATTATATTCAAGTTAGCCCAACTCCACTGTGGAAACTGTTCAACTTTCTCTCCCCTTAGCTTGTCACTGTGAAATAATACAGACATTGGGGCCTCCAATGGGATCGCCTGCCACGCCATTCTATTTCCACTGCTAACGAGGGCTTCATAAGCCTTTGATACAGTCTGATCTTTGAAACCTTTCCAAATCTCCTCAAGCTTATGCTAAATCCTATTTGGAACTTTTTTTTCCTTGCCTGCTAGCGCCCGGCGCTTAAGAAAGCCATTTGGACAGTGACATGCATACTAACGCATCGCAGCGCTCTTTTCTGAAAGGGAAGTGGCAACTCTGATCACCGGGGCTCACACGAGCAAAACACAATTGCGCACACAAATTTGAATACAATTAATTTTCCCTTCTCCTTTGGGCTCCTTAATCGAGAGGCTGTTCCGAGGGCGCCGTGGGAAGCTGAAAGAAGGCGAGCAGAGCCTCACCGGGAAGAGCAAGAATGTGGAGAGGGGAGCTTGCGAGAGCTTGGAAGCCTCCGAGGTGCAAAATGCAGAAGGGTGGAGGGGCGGGGGTGGGGTGGGGTCCTGAGCCACGGGGGCCAAATCCCAGCGTGTTTGCTCTTAGATCAAGCAGCCGTCACAGGAGGGGCACAATAAACAAAACCTGTGCCAACTCCTCTACATACAAGGCGCTGACAGGGAAGGGAAAAAAAGCAAAAGGAGTTAAAGAAACAAAGGAAAGATTCTCTAATTTTCCTTTCTTGTTTTCCCCTCTAAGCCTTTCCACATTAAAGGGATTGTCAGAGGCTGGCGTAGGAGCGGCGCGAGGGCGAGGTCTCCATTGGCTGCCTGGCTCGGGTGATTTGCATATCAACGGCTATAAAAGCGGAGGCGGCGCGCAGCGGCGCAACGCCAAAGAGGAGACAGGAGAGAGAGGTGCAGAGTGAAGGCGGGTCCGCGCGTCCTCAGAGCCAGCCTGAGCCGCGGAGCTGCAGCCAGCAGAATTCTCCCGCACAGGGTTCGCAAAGAGCGTGCTCCGAAGAGCCTGGGACTCACGCCCGGACCTGCAGATCCGAAAGGAATCTCTTCGTCAGCCTTTTGGAATAGCGCTTGGAGCTGGCGGCATGAGTCCAGTGAGGCGCAGGGGCAGCCCCTGCCTTTTCCCGTTGCAGCTCTTCAGCCTCTGCTGGGTGCTGTCAGTGGCCCAGAGCAAGACAGTGCGATACAGCACCTTCGAGGAGGATGCTCCCGGCACAGTCATCGGGACCCTAGCTGAGGACCTGCATATGAAAGTGTCCGGAGACACAAGCTTCCGCCTGATGAAGCAGTTCAACAGCTCGCTGCTCCGGGTGCGCGAGGGCGACGGGCAGCTGACCGTCGGGGACGCGGGCCTGGACCGAGAGCGGCTGTGCGGGCAGGCCCCGCAGTGCGTGCTGGCCTTCGACGTGGTCAGCTTCTCGCAGGAGCAGTTCCGGCTGGTGCACGTGGAGGTGGAGGTGAGGGACGTCAACGACCACGCGCCGCGCTTCCCCCGAGCCCAGATCCCTGTGGAGGTGTCCGAGGGCGCGGCCGTAGGCACGCGCATCCCCCTGGAGGTGCCGGTGGATGAGGACGTGGGCGCCAACGGTCTGCAGAGTGTGCGCCTGGCCGAGCCGCACAGCCCCTTTCGCGTGGAGCTGCAGACGCGCGCGGACGGCGCCCAGTGCGCCGACCTGGTGCTGCTGCAGGAGCTGGACCGCGAGAGCCAGGCCGCCTACAGCCTGGAGCTGGTGGCCCAGGACGGCGGCCGCCCGCCGCGCTCTGCCACAGCCGCCCTCAGCGTGCGCGTGCTTGACGCCAACGACCACAGCCCGGCCTTCCCCCAGGGCGCGGTGGCCGAGGTGGAGCTGGCGGAGGACGCGCCCGTGGGCTCGCTGCTGCTCGACCTGGACGCGGCGGACCCGGACGAGGGCCCCAATGGCGACGTGGTGTTCTCCTTCGGCGCCCGCACCCCGCCGGAGGCGCGCCGCCTCTTCCGTCTCGACCCGCGCTCGTGCCGCCTCACCCTGGCCGGAGCCGTGGACTACGAGCGCCAGGACACCTACGAGCTGGACGTGCGGGCGCAGGACCGCGGCCCCGGGCCCCACGCCGCCACCTGCAAGGTCATCGTGCGCGTCCGAGACGTCAACGACAACGCGCCCGACATCGCCATCACCCCGCTGGCTGCCCCGGGCGCGCCCGCCGCCTCGCCCTTCGCCGCCGCCGCTCTCGGCGGGGCGGACGCGACCTCGTCGACCGGCCCCGGGACGCCGGAGGCCGGTGCCATGTCGCTGGTGCCCGAGGGCGCGGCGCGTGAGAGCTTGGTGGCGCTCGTCAGCACCTCGGACAGGGACTCGGGCGCCAACGGGCAGGTGCGCTGCGCCCTCTACGGGCACGAGCACTTCCGCCTGCAGCCGGCCTACGCCGGCAGCTACCTGGTGGTGACCGCCGCCTCCTTGGACCGCGAGCGCATCGCCGAGTACAACCTGACTCTGGTGGCGGAGGACCGCGGCGCGCCCCCGCTGCGCACGGTGCGGCCGTACACGGTGCGCGTGGGCGACGAGAACGACAACGCGCCGCTCTTCACGCGGCCGGTCTACGAGGTGTCGGTGCGAGAGAACAACCCGCCCGGCGCCTACCTGGCCACGGTGGCCGCCCGGGACCCGGACCTGGGCCGAAACGGCCAGGTCACCTACCGGCTGCTGGAGGCCGAGGTGGGCCGCGCCGGGGGCGCCGTGTCCACCTACGTCTCGGTGGACCCGGCTACCGGGGCCATTTACGCGCTGCGCAGCTTCGACTACGAGACGCTTCGCCAGCTGGACGTGCGCATCCAGGCGAGCGACGGCGGCTCCCCTCAGCTCTCCAGCAGCGCCCTCGTGCAAGTGCGAGTGCTGGACCAGAACGACCACGCACCGGTCCTGGTGCACCCGGCGCCGGCCAACGGCTCCCTGGAAGTGGCAGTTCCCGGGCGCACCGCGAGGGACACAGCCGTGGCGCGCGTGCAGGCCCGGGACGCGGACGAAGGCGCCAACGGGGAGCTGGCGTTCGACCTCCTGCAGCAGGAGCCGCGGGAAGCCTTCGCCGTAGGCCGCCGCACGGGGGAGATCGTGCTCACGGGCGACCTCTCGCAGGAGCCGCCCGGCCGGGTGTTCCGGGCGCTGCTGGTCGTATCCGACGGCGGCCGGCCCCCGCTCTCCACCACCGCCACCGTCAGCTTCGTGGTGACCGCAGGCGGCGGGCGCGGGCCGGTGCCGGGAGCCCGGAGCACTCGCGCCCGCCCGGCTCGCGGCTCGCGGCGTCGGGGCCCGCGCTACAGTGGGACACGCCTCTGATCGTCATCATCGTGCTGGCCGGGAGCTGCACGCTGCTTCTGGCCGCCATCATCGCCATCGCCACCACCTGCAATCGCCGCAAGAAGGAGGTGCGCAAAGGGGGGCCCCGCCGGGAAGAACGGCCCGGGGCGGCGGGCGGCGGCGCCTCGGCTCCTGGCTCCCCGGAGGAGGCCGCCCGGGGAGCCGGGCCCAAGCCCAACATGTTCGACGTCCTCACCTTCCCTGGCAGCGGCAAAGCGCCTTTTGGCAGCCCCGCGGCCGATGCGCCCCCGCCCGCGGTCGCGGCGGCCGAAGTGCCGGGCTCGGAGGGCGGCAGCGCCACGGGGGAGAGCTCCTGTCACTTCGAGGGGCAGCAGCGGCTCCGCGGCGCGCACGCCGAGGTGAGGCCTTCCTTCGGCTGGGCGCCCCCCTCCGTGCTCCGCGGGCAGGCTGGGGGAAGAGACTGGAGGGGTCTCGGTGGGCGTGCGCCGGACATGCCTAACCTGTCGCGCTTGTTTGTTTGTTTTTTTGTTCCGTGACCAACCTTCATCCCCGCTCCCCCCATTCCCTGCTGCAGCCCTACGGTGCCTCTCCCGGCTTCAGAAAGGAGCCTGCGCCTCCTGTGGCCGTGTGGAAAGGACACTCTTTCAACACCATCTCCGGACGAGAAGCGGAGAAGTTCAGCGGCAAAGATAGTGGCAAAGGGGACAGTGATTTCAACGACAGCGATTCCGACATCAGCGGGGACGCTCTGAAAAAGGATCTCATCAACCACATGCAGAGCGGTGAGCACTCTTTCCTACCAGGTTCATCACCGTTCCCAGCCCCACTCGCACCTCCCCACTTGTTTCAGTCCCCGAGTTCCAGTTCCGGGCAGACCACAAATGGTGAATTTCAAAATGCCAAGTCGAGGCAGCTCCATCACCTGAATTCAGCATAGCCCCATCCTGGTGGGCGGAGGAAACGGTGATTGATGCTAGCTATCTGAGGAGGGGAATTCTGCTTATCAGTTTTTTTTCCTTCCAGTAAAAGAAGCTGAGCCAACTTGGAGTTCGGTGGCTTTACAGGAAGCAACGTTGCTTTCAAACCTTGACTGACTGGTGTTCATCTTCATATGCTTTCCTTTTCAGCCACCCTGACCCTGCCTGGTGTTCTGAAGATGGAGGCATAAATGCGTAATCTCAGGAATAGTCATGCTCTCTTCCTTTCTCTTTTACGTTAGGACTGTGGGCGTGCACTGCTGAGTGTAAGATCCTGGGCCACTCTGACCGCTGCTGGAGCCCGTCATGTGGAGGGCCCAACACGCACCCCTCGCCTCACCCGCCCGCCCAGATGTCTACCTTCTGTAAGAGCACATCACTGCCCCGCGACCCTCTGCGCAGGGACAATTTCTACCAGGCCCAGCTGCCCAAGACAGTGGGGCTGCAGAGCGTCTACGAGAAAGTGCTGCACAGGGACTATGACAGGACAGTCACTCTGCTCTCCCCTCCTCGTCCAGGGAGGCTCCCAGACTTGCAGGAGATCGGGGTCCCCCTCTATCAGTCCTCCCCTGGCAGGTACCTGTCCCCAAAGAAGGAAGCCAATGAAAATGTGTAACCCTACGCTGCATGCCTTCACACATACACAGGTCACTCTGAGAAGCCCCTAAGTTATTGACCGTTTTCAGTGTTGTATATATAAATATGCAAGATGTGCCTTAAAATGAAGTTGTTGGAAGCTATTTCCAATCACATTGGTACTGTTTGGTATTTGCAAACAAAAATGTAGTTAATGTAATTTTTATGAAATGTGTGCCGTATTTCCTTTCTCTTATCATGCTATTGACTTTAATTTCACTTGCAGCTTGCCATTTTCTTAGTGTTTTTAACCTGTACATTGTGTAATGTAATGTTTGTATATAATGAAATTTTGTTATATTTTTATATAATAAAAGCTAAAGTGGAAGTTATTGCCAAAGGAAATGTCTATAAGACAAAAAAAAATGTGTTGGAATTACTTAATGGAAATTTATCTTTTACCTGAAACAACCTTGTGTTTGAGAAGTTTTGCCTTGCCAAGTATAACTTGTATATCTTGAGTCTGTGGTAGATTTCAAGTTCAATGTTATTTAATTACATTTGGTTTTCTGTAAACCGTGTCACTTATAAGCACAGTAATAAAGGATTTGTCATGTGTTTGAAGAATCTGCTAATTGCTTTTCATGAACTTGCCTACGGTTAGACATTCACAAATAATTTGAATACCAGGGCTGATTTCAAGGGCTGATTATTTGGACATTATTAATGTTCACAGCAATATTAAACCTGTGGGATTCAAGTATTGGAAAGTCTCATCAAAGTATTAAAACTATTTGTTGATTTTGTAAAACATGTGCCTATCCATAAACATTAGGGACTCTATAAAATTCCTCCCCTCGCTTAGTCACTCAACAAATATTTACGGAGCATCTACCGCAAAGTCAAGAGAAGCTGTTTGGGCTGTTCATTTACTAATTCAACATTGGTAGATATTTTACTAACTGCAGTCAGTAATTCCTCTAGGAACTGGGGTTTGAGGTTAGGAAAACATAGTCCCAAGGAGCTCTTAGCATATTAGGGATGTTAACATCAAGAAGAAGCTCTTAGCAGATTAGGGGTTTTAATATCAAAAAGACTCAGATTCATGGGTGAAATGACATGATGCTTGGAATTTGCTTTAAAACATTCCAAGAGAAAATACAGGGGGCTATATGAAATAAGATTGATAAAATATTAACCACTGTCAATGCTAGCTTGGTTGTGTGTGTGTGTGTGTGTGTGTGTGTGTGTGTGTGTGTGGTAATTATACCAATCTGTGTGTTCATGTTTGAAAATGTTCGTAATGGAAGACTTAAGAAGACTTATGCCTTACACTCTGCATTCATTTCATTTGAAATTAAAGTGATAATAATGAGAGCTAACGTTTACTGAACAAGCTTTTTTATGAGCAGAGTTCCTTATAAAGCATGCTGCATACATTATTTAATCCCCAAACTATCTCCATAAAATAGCAACTATCATTATCTCCATTTCACAGATTAAACAAACAAACAAACAAAAAACTGGGCACAGTGAGGTTAGGTAAAACGCCCAAAGTCACACAACTAAGAAGTGGCCAGGATGACATTCAAACCCAAATTATTCAAGGCAAGAAAATAAAATGAAGCAACAAAAGTTTTTTGTTTTCTAACTTGAAAGAAACAAAGCATTAGGTGGAAAATCCCAAGGCATTGCTTTTACTGCCTGATAATTGTCTAACCCTTTATATTTCTGAAGTGCCCCTGTTCCTTTATCACTAATTATAGAGTGTGAGGCACCGTAATGAATAGAGGAGCCCTCAAAGCTGCCTGTTGAAGTCATAATTGAAACCAGTGGTGGCTCCACACTGAACAGCAGGGTGGGCACACACAAATGCTTCGCCACCCACGGCCTGTGCAAAGTTGAGCGGTTTCTGCAGGCACCAGGCATGCGCCCATCAAGCTCAGGCTGCCCAGAGCACAGGTTCTGAAAGGAAACAGCGAATGTGGCCAGGTTACCAGACAGCTCCAGATCCATGGTGACCAGCCCCAGGGAGGTAGCCTTCCTATTCTACCATCTAAAGCTTTATTCTTGAGCAGTCCCATTAAATGCAGAGCTGAAGAATGAATAATCCCACGCTGCAGCCCCAAAAGCATCCAATCTCTGAAGGTGTTGGCTTGCTTTTGTCCTTCAAAAGTAGTATCATGTCATTGTCATTATTTTGTGTTGGCCTGTGAAAAGTATTTCATGACTCCAAAATTCTGTTTTCAGAACCTCTAGGACTTCACTGTCATATTTTTCCCTTAGAGACATGACCATTAAAAGACCTTATTTTTGCATGGAACTTAAAAAAAAAAATCAAACACGTAATTCAGTTCTTAAAATCGTTGGTTTAAACAAGAAAAGGCAGGGAGGGCTCCTTTCCAGATCAGCAGCAGGAACGCACAGAAGAAAAAAAAAAAGAGCCAAACAAAAGACGCTTTCCACTCTTCTTCAGAAACTTCTATTCTCAAGTTCATTTTTAAGAAAATATATTTCTTTGTTAAATGAGATACTGTATAATGCAGAATACTTAGGACAATTCCTGGCCTGCAGTAATAGCCACTGTATCCTATCTTCCTCTTTCTTTGCCTCCCTTTGGAGCCAGTCTCCACTGGAACTGCCAGGGCTGCCCCACCCACTAAGGAAGGTGGAAGACTCAGGATGTCTGGCCTTGTTCTGACACTGGCTTGCTGGCGTCACTTCTTCCACTTGCCCTCATGTTGACTCAACACTCTACAAACAAGTGTGGCTAAAATGAACATCACAGGCAAACTCACCAGATATTTGTGATGGTACCAAGGAGACGGACAACCCTTGGGCACCTTGGCTGTCAGCACTGGGGCACGGGAAGTTCCTTGGGGAAGGGGGAGGTCACCTTGAAAGAGAAAACTAAAGCTTGACTTTACCTAGTTCACATTTTTATGTCTGGCCCCATTGACTTGGATAGTCTGTGCTTCCTACAATAAAATATCCATCAAAGAAACCACTTTAGAAAATTAAAATGTAAGTGGTTTCAACATCTGTTGAAAAGTGCATTCTGAAATAAAGCAAAAACAGGATGTATGTCTCCAAATACAAATACCGGAGATGCCAAAAAAATGTACACAAGTGGACACTTTGGTCAGCATTGCTCAAGCAGTAGTTCGCCATAATCAGAAGTGTCTGGATGCTGATGGGAACCACTTTGAGCACCTCTTGTAATTGCACAAGTCAAACATGACTTGTATTCATATTTTGTTATCGGTATATATTAATACAATTCTAACAGCTTTTTCCTTTCTTAAAATGTACATACATTTTTTTGGCACCCTCTTTACATATGCACATGGAACGAAAAAAATATATACATGTATATAATTAGAATGAGTTCTATGCCATAATTAGCTAAATAGCTAGCTTATCTCACTTGACAAATATAAGTTTTGTCATCTAAAGATCCCATTTTAGTAAACAAGCATATTCACTTTAGCCCTGAATTCAGTAACAATAGGATAATTGGAATGCTGTAAGTTATGAAAGCAAACTGAAACAAAGTAATACAATACTCAATGGGGCACGGTGCTTTGCAACACCTCAGAAGGGCTTTGAAAATGCTGCTTAGCTTTCAACAGCTATACAATAACTGGAGAGAGTATTTATTATTCTCTTTCTTCAGAGGGAAATCATCTGCAAGGGAATTCACCCACAGGTTCAAAGTCACCTAATAAGTGAACAGCAGGTAGAAAGAGACAACAGGCTCTTCTCCAAGCACCAGATTAAACGTGCTTTTGTAGCAGGGGGAAAAAAATCTTCACTTGTTATCAGCGTATAGGATTGGCCCCCACAAAACTTGTCTAAGGAATTTCAACATGCCAAAGTGAAGACTGTGTTGTGTAATGCAGAATTACGGAAAATTCATTTGCCAGCCCAGTATGATACTTAGCAATGTTACGGACACCTTGGACTCAACACATCCAAATCAAAACCACCCTCCCTTCTCTGCCACCATTATCCCCCAAAACTACCCCCTCTGGCAATGGTCTTACACTCAATGAATGCGACTGCAATTTTCAGACCAAACCCAAAATAGAGTCATTTTTAGATACCACCGCATTTCTTACTTCCACTCATCAAGGCCTATTGATTTCGTTTTCTATATATTGTTTAATTGTCCCTCACTCCACTGTAGCAGATATGATGCTCTGCCGACCGCTGGGTTCACCTCAGCTGCAGTGGACACTCCTGTCTGTGCTGCTTGAGGCCCCACCCATGTTGAGGCCACCAAAGCTTGTTCAGCCTGGAAGGACTGGGGGGATTCAAGACCTGTACAGCCAACCCTCAGCCACTTAGGGACAGGCATTGGTAAATAAATACCCCAGTTTTCAGGTCCCATTAGGGACGATTTTGAGCTGTATTCTACACAGTTCCTCCCAGGGTCCCAAGTGAATTTGAACCCCAGTTGTCCACAGCAGTAATCCACTCAGTTAACACCCCCCTTCACTGGCTTTCCTCCTTCCCCATCTCACTGTCCTCACTCAGTCACTCGTGCTTCCTGGGGTTACCTGCACCCACATCCAGTGCCTGTTTGAAGGGGGACTACCCAAATCAGGATGGCTGCCTAAGAACGAGACTAAGAATAAGGATATCACTTAGTGGTTACTGCATTCCAGGCACTGAACCAGGCATTTACAGATAATCCTCACAATCTTGCCAGGTAAGTACTGATCAAACCATCTTACATATGAAGCACATGAGATTTAGAGCAGTAAATTCATGGGATTAGGGGGGAACTTGGATGGGTATTAGAAAGAACCGGGATTAAATTCGAGATCTGTCTGATACTTCCGGAATAAGGCATAGCACCTTATTGAAATTCTCATTGCTTCTTTCCCGGGTTCCAGCAAAAACCTCCTATCTGCACTCCCTGGGGTCACTGCTTATCCCCTACCGTCCCATCCGCCACACTGCTGCCGTAAAGACCTTTTCTAAACATCTGATCTTGTCGCTCTTCTGAGCACTACCCTCATGACTTCCCCTTGTCTTTAGGATAAAGTCTGCAGTGCTGTCGATGGCCTCCCAGGCCCTTCATGCTGGTCCCCACCTCCCTCCCAGCCTTGGTCCTACTGCTGCCCCTCCCCACCCTCCACCCCCACCGGT